CATGTCATTCTTGATGATTTGGGATTGCTATTGGATTTGCTTTGAGTTGAAATAATATTTGTGATTTTTTCTTATTTTTTTATTAGGGGATATGATTTGGCGAAGTATTTGATTGATGGGGATCCAAAGTTGAGACGAAAGAAATCTGTTTCCGAAGTGAAAAATCGATTCCCCGATGTTGTAAACCGATGTCGAATTCTTGCAGCAGACTATTACGAGAAGCTCTTTATGATGTACTGCAATGGAGATGATCCCTTTTTTGGACCAATATAATTAAACTATTTTCTAATGTATATAAAATTTTGATCTTTTTTATTTTGCAGCTTATAAGTTTTCATCATGGCTTTGGCTGGAATTATTTTAATACTTGTCATGATAAAATTATATTTTTTTTTTTCTTACAAAATTTGCGAGTTCCGTCAATTTTGGAACAATATTTCTCATTCTGAATTCTTGAAGTTTCGATTTCCAATTTTTTTGGAACGATTCGAAATTCCTGGAAATTATCAAAATATTTTGATTTTGTTTTTCAAAAATTGCCCTTATAATATCAATATGATTATGTAGTTCATATTAATATATTATAGGTGATTTAAAAAAAAAATAGAAATTCCGAAATATACTGATTTTGATCTGAAATTTCCGATTCTTGAATATATTTTCTTTCCAACTTCCGAAATTCCAATCTTGTTCGGAACGAAATTGGATGTATTTTACTTCCGCAAAGTTTGAATTTTTTTTTCTTCGTAGATATTAATTTTGATATGATCTAATTTACAAAATGCTACTTAAAATGAAAATTGATGCGGGATTCCTTGAAATGAGTAGTTCAAAGGTCGAATTGGAGAATTGTTTAGGAATACAGGTTCGAATGTCACGACGCTTAACGCAGATGATGTCGCGTGTTGATAACTAACTCAATACTTGAAAACAATTAAGTCAATATGAAGGGAGTAGTTGAAACATTTCATCGTTTTGAGAGGTTTCAATCAATGAAACAAATAATTCAGACAATGGCTTATCACCAAAGAGGAATCATACACAATAAGGTTTAAAAAAATAAATAACCATTTATTACATCAATAAATATTTGGGACCAAAATAGTAACACAAAATACCATAAGCATACTCTTTGTCACTTTGCACAAAATCTGCATGCAGGGCTTTTAATACAACCAAGATAAACACACACACACACACACACACACACACACACACACACACACACACACCCCAATGAAACTTGATGTAGGTTTGAATTTATGAAAAACTGGGGCTGTCTGAAAAGGCATTTGCACTTCCATTTATGTTTCCTTATTCATATGCATCATTTAATATTATCTTATTTAATATTCTACTGTCTCTGTATATCACACCAAAAACACGTTTTCTCTTCTTCTTCTTCATGTAATTTTCTGAAGAAAAAAGGAGATTAATTAATCAACATTTTAATTCAAGAAAGTGACTGTGTCCGAAATCTTTTTTTACTGTGCATTTTCTGATACGGTAATTGCAGCTAGGTAAAAGCTTCTAACCCTTGAACTGATTTCAAAGTTGAGGGTTTTTATCCTGGTTTTTTTTTCATGAACTAGCAATTTTTATTTTTTTTATTAATTCTTTATTTGATTGCAAAGTTGGGGGTGTTTTGTCCTTTTTTTTTTCTTTTTTTTTTTGGCATGAACTAGATTTTTTTTTTTTTGGTGCATGAGGGTGCAATTCTAACCCTTTACATGGTTACAAAATTGGAAGGTTTTGTCCTGTTTTTTTAATTTTTTGGCGCAGAGATGCGAAAAGTAGTATTTTTACACGTAAAAATTGAATCTTGATCAAACACATTAGTGATTAGAAGATGTTCATTTTTTTTTTTTGTTTTTTTTGGTTATTAGGTGAAGAATAAAAAATGGATCTTGGAAAGAACTTGGTCAGTATCAAGATGGAAAATATCGATCCATCGGAGAGAGCAGAGTACTTAGAGGAGTGGGGGTGTACGGGGGTTTGTTTTGAACAAACTAAGATTATAAACGAAAAGAATGTGACGATATCTGAGCTGTATAAAAAGATCATGTATATGAAAGACGACTTCTTGAAAATCGATCGGAACATGAAAACATGCAACGATAAGATCAAGAATTTAGAAACGAATGAAGCCCGGATGAACAAAGAGGTTGAAGAATTGAAGCTACAAAAATTTGAAGCGGATCGAATGATTGAGATATTAAGGGTCCGACTATCGGGATCCGAAGAAATGGAGAGTGGATTAAGGGGCCGTTTGTCGGAATCCGAAGAAATGGAGAAGGGACTAAAGGCGAAATACATGGAAGTTTGTGGGATTTTGGATCGGTTAAGTAGACAAAAATTGGCGTCAGAATCGCAGATAGTGGAGTTGGAAGAAACCGTGAGGAGAAGCGATGAGGAAAAAAAGGAAAAAGATTGTATTGTGGCGGAGTTACGGCGGCAGAAGATGGTGGCTGAGGAGGCAGCTGAGATTCAAAAGATACAACACGATAAAGCCGTTGAAGAAATGGCGGGAAAATTAGAAGAAGCTGATTCGATGGCGAATGAGCTGAGACAAACGGTTGAGGAGTTGAAGCAGCAGAATTTGGCGGCTTATAAGGCGGCTCAAGTGTTCAATAACAAGTTCGATGATTTGACAGCTGGACTGGAGAATTTGTTGAGTGCCATAAAGGACGATGCGGTAAATCTCGAGAAGAACGAGGGCGGTTTGGACATTTTTCCGGTTTCTAGTATTGGGAAGCGAAGTTCTTCGGGAAGTGGGACCGGTCGAGGTATTCGTTGGTTGCAGGAAAGAGGTATTTTTTTTTTTTTTGAAGAATCTATTCGGTTAATTTTCTAGTTTATGCATAAGTTACTAATGATGCATCAACAACTGATGACTTTCTTGATATTTTAATAGTACTCCTAGGGTGGCAATCGGAATTAGCCCTTCCGGAAAAAAAATCATTTTTTTGTCGGAAGGGGAAATCTAATTCCAATTCCATTCCGTTCCAATTTAAAATCGAAAATTCGAAGGAAAAAACATGTTCTGAAATATAAATTTTTTGGATCGGAATCGGGGGATTTCGGAAATCCAAATTTAGAGTTACCTATAATACATTATAATACACAATAATATTGATATTATGAGTGTAATTTCTGGAAAATTATCGGAATTTTCGGAATTATAAGAAATTGAAATCGGAAAACATCGGAATCGAAACTTTCGGAATTCGGAATGAATTTTTTTGTTCCAAAATCGAAAAAAAATGGATCAGAATAATCGTAATTCGGAATTGTCGTTCCAATTTTCATTCCTAATACTCCACATAGAGTTGCAAGTTTAGTGAATCTTTTTCCGTAAAATTGAGATTATTTTGATTTGATTTTGTTGGTTCAAAGCTATTCTAACTGACGGAGTTATGATGATTTGAATGCAGATAATACTAGCTTGGCTAGAGATACTCTTGAAATAACAGAAAAACTCGGTAATGAAAACGAAACAGACTGCATGGTTATTTCGGCCATGCCTTCAAATAGGAAAAGAAGCAAACTTTGTAATGAAAACGAGTTAGTGAATCTCGAGGCCGATTCCGTTCTTGATGACGTGGACGAGAGTTTTACGGTTGCTAATAAGGCTGCTCAAGTGTTTGAAAACAAGTTCGACGATCTGACAGCTGGACTAGGGAATTTATCGAGTTCCACAATCGAGGATGTAGTAAATCTCAAGAACACGAACGAGGGTGTTAAATCGGCAAGGGTGCGTGGCTCCGTTTTCGGTTCTGTTTATAGCCGACGTACTCATTTGCATGAAAGAGGTATTTTTCAGTCGATAATTATGTTTCATTTATTAAGAAAATCTCTCCATTTTTCTTGTTTATATTTTAAGTAGAAATTTTCTTGATTTTGAATATGTTGCGATGAATTAGGTGCAGAAAATACTAGCTTGGCTAGAGAGATCATTGATTGTGACGAAGAAACAATTTACGACAGAACTGCAAATATGTGCACAAATTTGTGTGAAACGGAAAATATTATTTGCAGGAAAAGAAGCAAGCTCGGTAATGAAAACGAGATTGATGACGAACCGAATCAAGAATCAACTCACAATGAGCATTCATTTTCTAGAGGAAAGAACAACTCGAGCAAAAAATGGATGTGTGGGGCCCACATGCTTGAGGCCTTTGAGGAAGACGAAGAGCTATGTATGAATGCCGTGTGTGCACTTTACCGAGTTTCTGCACGAGAATCACTTTGCCACTTTGAGATGATGAGGTAGTTACTTCTGCTTAATTTGACCTACATTTTGAAAAGAAAAAAAAATCTTGATTTTTCGATTTTATGTATTCACTCATGGTATAAGTGATTCTTCGTTTTTTTAAACTGAATTAGGGGACGTGATTTCGCGGAGTGTTTGATCGATGGGGATCCGGAGCTTAGATTAAAGAAATCCGTTTCCGAAATTAAACGGCATTTTCCCGATGCAATAAACGAATGTCGAATTCTTGCAAGGAGCTACTATGAGAAACTTTATATGTTGTATTGCAGTGGAGAAGATCGTTTTTTTCGACCAATATAATCTGTCGATCTTGTGATCAAATTTATGTTTGTATATAGTTTTGAACTCAAAAATCTGATTCTTGATTTAGTTTATGATTGTATATGAATCACATGATCATGTTCATCTTTATGCTTTTGATGAAAAAAAACAATCCCGAAATTCACTTTCATTTCGAAAAATCAAGAAAATGAACTCACAACAACTGACAATAAATACAGACTTAAAAAAATTTAAAATTTATTGGTAGAAGAAAAAAAAAATCATATAATTTCATATTTATTTATCCTACAATGTAGATACTAGATATATTTGCATTGTTGATAAAAAGGGTATATTCGTAAATAAAATTGATTTTGAGGCTTAGTTCTAAAAGTTTGAGGTGTTTGCAAATTTTCTGTAAAATGAGCTTAAATCGAAAAGCAGCTCATATCGGCTGTCGAAGCACGTTTGATGAGCTGTGACCGGAAAGTTGTCATTTTGAGGCGGTGGAATTCGGATTTATGGCAGCAGAAATTGGAGGCTGAGCAAGCTGTCATAATCAACCGCGTATTGTCCGGTCAAACCGTGGCGGAGATGAAGCTGAGATTATCGGAGGCTACTTGCTCGATTGCGGAATTGAAGTGTACTATCGAGGAATTGAGTACTCGTCATTTGGCAGCTCGTAAATCTGCTGAATTTTTCAGAACGAAATTCGAGGATTTATTGAATGTCCAAATTATACGTGATCTAGTTCGCGTGGAGAAGAAAAATGGATGAGTGGGGCCCACATGCTCGTGGCTTTAGATGAGGATGACGAGCTTTGCATGGATGCCGTGTGTGCGCTCTATAGGAAGGAAGTTTCTAGAACGGAATCTGATCGATTCCGTTCGCACTTCGAGGCGATGAGGTATTAATTATATGCTTTGGCATTTCTTGATCATTTGGCCTTGTTATTGATTTTTGTTTTTGAGACGAAGAAAATCGGTTAGTGAAGTTAAATGGGAATTTCCGGATGCTCTAAACCGATGTCGGATTCTTGCAGTAGACTATTAGAAATTTCGATTTATGTTTATCGAATGTACACTTATAATATCAATACTTTTATAAGTCACTGAAAAAAAATTGTAATTCCAGATTTCGCCAATTTCGATCAAAAAATTTCCGATTTTGAAATAAGTTTTGTCGTTCCAATATATATATAGATATATATTTTTGTTACATAATTGGGATTAGTTTTTTTTTTTTTTTTTTTTTTTTTTTCAAAAAAATTGGATTTTTTGAATGTGCGAATTCCAATAGGATCTATTTGAGTTCCTACTTCAAGCAAATCTTTCAGATAATATAGTACTATGGGCTTATCACAAAAAAGGAAACTCACAGCTAATGCACAATAAATAGTTAAATACTATAAACTCATAAAAAAAATTATGAAAAGGCGGGGGCTTTATTCAAAAATCATTCTGAAAAAGCATGTATATCATATATGGGTAAATTACGGAAAACTCCCTGAGGAAATGTTAAACTATTAAAATTTCTTTCATGTTGGGATAATTACAACCAGCCATCAATTTTAAATCTTTTTACACGTCCACCTTTATAGTTCAAATTCAACATAATCTTCTAGATTATGTGAAATATCCTTTCGAGGGTGGCCGTAATTTGATGTTAGTAGTGCAAATTTTCGGAAAAAAAGAAAATTGAAATTTTTTGGAAATATTTTCGCAAATTAAAATCGAATTGGCAATCGGAATCTTATATGAATTAAAAATCGAATTGGCAATTATTTTATTCTTATATGAAATAAAATATTGGTAAAAAAAATTCGTCATGTATTGATCTTTGTGAAATGAAATATCATGTCAATTTCAATTTATAAATAAAAAATAAAGGGGTCTAATTTCTTTTACCCCAAAAAACATCTTCTACCGGTTCCAAGAAACTTATATATATGGTCCCAATTTTCCATTTCCATCAAGTGTTGTTGAATTTCCCCATCACAATTCAAAATTCACACATTCAAAAAATATAAAATAATGTAAGAAAATAGGTAAAAATAACTCATCTTTCCCATATTATTTATCTTTTTAGAGAGATTTTTTTTCCTAAATTATTTGTCATTCTAAATTCCAATGAAGCATTAATTGCATAATTGTCAATTTTACCCTTTATAACTCCTAATTAAAAGTTGTAACACAATTACTATCAAGGGATAATTTAGTAATTTTCTATATATTTTTTAATTATAATTTGTGTACATTTATTGATTTTCTATATTATTTATTTCCTGTATTCCTCCTCCTTCTTTCTGTGATATTTTCTTTTTCTGCAGAAAGCTTTCAATTCTGAAGGTTAATTTCACGTTTCGTTTGTCTTTGATTTTTTTCTATATCTTCTATTTCAACCAAGTTCAGATCTGACAACTTTGAAGGTTAGCTGAGGTAATTGATGTGTTATTTATTTCTTATGTTTCTTTTCTTTTATTTAATTAGGTATATATACATTATTATGAATTTATGAATATATAAAGACACTCATTCAATCTATAGATATTACTCAATCAACAAATTAAATCCATTTAATAATAAAGTAACTGTATAAATTAAACTTGTAAAATCAGTGACAAGAGTAGTCAAAATTTTCATTTTATATATGCTACACTATATAGTAAGTTATATATATATATATAGATAGTTCATGCAATTTTTTTGTTGAACAAACTCCTTGATTAAGCACATTCGGCTTTTCTCTCGTGAATTTTATTTCGTTTTACAAGGTTCGGAATATACTAATGGATCTTGAAAAGACTCGTCTCAAAATCAAAACGGAAAATCTCGAGACGGCCGGCTTAACTAGGGTTGATAATTTTTCAGACACTAGTGTAAGAATAAAGACAGAGGAAGTTTATAATGCCAAGGTTTGTGTGGAAAAGCAAACTAGGGTTATAAACGAAAAGAACGTCAAAATATCAGAGCTGAATAAGAAGCTTAAGGAAACGAAGAAAGAGGTTGAGGAATTGAAGCGACAGAAATCTGAAGCCGATGAAATCATCGAGGGGTTGCGGGCGAAGAATACGGAGGCTTGTGTGACTATAGAACAACTGAGTGAACAAAAGATGGCTGCCGAAGAACACGTTGTGAGGTACGTCGAAACAGTGAGGAAAATCGGTCGGAAGCAATTGGAAAGCGATAATTTAGTGACGGAATTGAGGCGACAGAATTTGGAGGCTTCTCAGACGGTGGAGCATTTGGGGCGGGAGCTGTTGGCTTGCGAAGTGCACAAGAAAACATGTAATAAGAAATTGTCGGAAGCTGATTGTACGGTGAAGGAGCTAAGGAAGATTGTGGAGGAATTAAAGCGACGAAATTTTGTCGCTGATAGAGATGCTGGAGTCTTGAAAACGAAGTTTGAGGATTTGGTGCCTTTGGCGGTTGGATTAGGGAAGTTGTTGAATGTGAAGATCGATGGGATAGTGAATCGAACGAACGAGGGTGGTACGTGTAAGAATTAATCTCTCGTTGTTTTATGTTTCGATTTGAAGCTTTTTTTTTTGTGACTAAGTAGCTATGATGATGAATTAGGTGGTGGTGAAGAGAATAATAATATTAGCTTGGCAAGAGATGATGTCATTGAAATCATCGATTGTGATGATGTCGCAGAAGTCGTTTTCGAGAATTTTGCAAAGAGGGCAAATTATGATCGGACAAATAAACGGAAGGGGAAAACGGACTGCTCGGAAGAGATTTCTGTCACAGCTCAAAACAGGAAAAAAAGAAGCAAAATTAGTGACGAAAATCAAGAATCAACTCGCAATAGGCATTCATTTCCAGGAAAGACTAATTCGAGCAAAATGTGGATGAGTGGGGCCCACATGCTCGAGGCCTTCGATAAGGATGACGAGCTTTGTCTGAAAGCCGTGTGCGCACTTTATCGAAAGCAAGTTTCTGCGACGGAATCTACCACCCGAGGATTACTTCACCGCTTCGAGACTATGAGGTATATGTATTTATATCATGACTAAAAAGGTCATTCTTGACCGTTAAGGATTGAAATTCTTCGAGTCGTTTTTTTTTTTTTTTTTGATTTTTTTTAATTAATTTTAGGGGACGTGATTTGGCGGAGTATTTGATCGATGGGGATTCGGAGCTTAGATTGAAGAAATCGGTTTCGGAAGTAAAACGAGAATTTCCCGATGCTATTAACAAATGTCGAATTCTTGCAGTGGATTACCATGAGAAACTCTTTATGTTGTATTGCAGTGAAGAGGATCCTTCTTTTGGACCAAAATGATTTATTTGATGCTTGAAAGTTGTAATATAAATCATGCATACTAAATTACTAATTAACCTATTAATTCTTAGGTGTTGCTTTAGAATTTTATGATAAAGTTGCTGTTATCATTTTTTTTCCGAAAATTACACATAAAAATGGAAATTACGAATTCCACCAATTCGGATATGTAAATTGTCAACTTTAAACAATTTTTTTAGTTCCAATTTTAGAAATTCTAATTTTTTCGATTTCTTTGAAGTAATTGAAATTAGTTTTATACTTCCAGAAAAATTAATTTTTTTTCGAAATTACTAATTCGAGATAATTGGAAATAATGAAGGGGTTTTCCCATTTTCCCATTTTCCCATATATTAATATATATGAAATAACCCCACTAAAAAACATGCCTATCATGCAAATTAATCATGAAAGAAAACTACCCATTACTGCAACTAAGAGCATCTCCAACTATGATGAATATGGAGAAGATGAAAGCTAAATTGGAACACGAAAAATTGATGAGAATTTTTTACTGAGATATGGGATGACAAGTCCTTCCTTTTCTTTTTCTTTTTTCTTTCTTCTTTTCCCTTTTTTCTTTTTCTTCTTCTTTTTCTTTTTCTTTTTCTTTTTTAATGATTAAGATATAGAATGTAAGTGAAGGGACAAATTTGCCACTGCAAATCTCATGTGCAACACACGTGTTGTAATATTCCGGTCAAAATTGCCGGAATATTCCTTTTAGGAGGCACCGTGCAATGAATTAACGAGTTCAGGTAAAAACGTGCAATTCTTTTTTGTTTGGGGGGCAAAGTGCAAAACGAGCCATAGTTTAGGGGGCAAACTGCTTTTTACTCCAAAATATAATAGAACGGTAAATTATACATAATATGATTGGAGTGAATGATAGAAAATGAGTTGTGAAAACACTATTTATTAGCTAAAATAGATATAGCATCTCATTTTTTACCACTCAAGCTGGCTGGAGATGCCCTAACTAATTAAGTAAACTGTAATTAAAAAAAAAAAAAAAACTTAAGTAAACCTATTTAGTATTTTCATGTAAATAACTCAGTAACTCACTTAACTCACTAATTACAACTAAACCACCCACTAACTCACTAAACTTTAAAATGGTGGTGTTTGCAAAAGCTTTTTGAAAGTGATTATGCGCGTTTTTTGCTCATAATCTGTTTTCACGTGTTTGAAAAATCAACTTTTGTTTTTGCTTCTCTTAAAATAATCTGTTTTAAGCTAATTTTTTACAAGCACCCCTAACCATATTTTTTCTATTTAAGTTCATTTTCCGAAATATTTACAAACACCCCCAACTTTTAGAAATAAGAACTTAAAACTGACGTAACTCACAATTAATAACTTCTGTTGTCATTTGCAGACTAAAACACGAATCAAGTAATTCAAAGCATTAATAAATTATTACAGCAATAAATATTTAATACCAAAATAGAAACACTTACACACACAGACAGATTTGTTGTCTCTTTGCACAAAAACTGCATGCAGGGTTTGAATTCAACAAATATAAACAAACACACAACCCATTTATAAATCCTTTTTTTTTTTTGTTTTTTTTTTTCTTTTCATTTGAAGAATCATTCTGTAAAAAGCATCTGAGTGTACTTTATTTCCCTTATTCAAGCATCATATTAATTATCATACACCAGAGCCACATTTCCTCAGGATTGACTGAAACGTTGACCCCATTTCTTCTTCATCTTCTTCATGTATCAATTTTCCGGTGGTGACCGGTGAAGTCTTTTTCCGGTACATTCTGCAAGAACAGCTGCAGCTAGAGGTAATCTTCTGACCCAATTGATTTTAAAATTAGGGTTTTTGTCCTTTTTTTTTTTTGCCCTGTTTTTTTTTTTTTGCATGGAGTAATAATTTGTGTACAAGTAGAAGAGGGTTATGAATCAAACATATTAGTGATAAGAAGGTGTTTTTTCACATGTTTTTGTTGGATTTTTATTATTAGGTGATATATTAAAAAATGGATCTTGAAATGAATCGGGTCAAAATCAAGAAGGAAAATCTTGATCCTGTTTTTTTTGGCCCTGTTTTATGGCATGAAGTTGCAATTTTTGTACAAGTAAAGAGGGTTATGGTCAAACACATTAGTGATAAGAAGGTGTTCACATTTTGTTTGCTAGGTGATATATTAAAAAATGGATCTTGAAATGAATCGGGTCAGAATCAAGAGGGAAAATCTTGAAACGGGTCGTGATCCGTTGGAGAGAACAAAAGAGGGCTTAACCGGGCTTGATCGATTTTCCGGCAGTAGTGTAAGAATAAAGAAAGAAGAGGAGTTCGCCAGGGTCTGTGAGGAACTCAAGGAAACGATAAACGAAAAGGAAGTGATAATATCCGAGCAATTCAAGAAGATCATGGAGATGAAAGACGACTTCTTGAAAAATGGTCCGTTGTGCAACGAGAAGCTCAAGGGTTTCGAAACGAGAGAAGCCCGTATGAGCAAAGAGATTGAAGAATTGAAGCTGCAAAAATTGGAAGCCGATCGAATCATTGAGAAGTTAAGGGCCCGATTGTCCGAATCCGAAGAAACGGAGAATGGATTACGGGCGAAAAATATGGAGGCTCGTGTGGCTATAGAACAATTGAGCCATCAAAATTTGGCTGCTGAAGCACACTTGGTGAAGTATGTCGAAACACTGAAGCAAATGGGGCAGAAACAATTGGAAACGGATCATGTTGTGGTGGAATTAAAGCGGCAACTGATCGAGATCGAGGCTGCTGCGAGAGAAAAATACGATAATGCCATCGAAGAGATGCGACGGAAGCTTCTAGAAGGTGATTGCACGGTGAAGGAGCTGAGAGAAACTGTTGAGGGTTTGAGGCGGCAGAATTTCGCGGCTTATAAGGCGGCTCAAGTTTTCAAGAAGAAGTACGACGAATTGGTGCCGTTGGCGGTTGGATTACGGGAATTGTTGAACGCAAAAATTGACGGTGTCGTAAATGTCGAGAACAACGTACATTTTGCTCAGGGAAGAGGTATGATTTTTTGAAAGAAAAAAAAATTGATGGTAGCTATAAGAGTGTAGGATTAACATATTTATGTTGCTTTTTTTTTTCCAATTTGAGTTTGTTGGTTCGAAGATGTTTTATTTTGACTAAGTTAAGATGATTTATGTGTAGATAATACAAATTTGGCTATAGAAATCAATGATTCCGACAATGAAGACGAGGTTTCGCCAATCAAAGAAAATATTAATATTGATGATCAAAATCCGGAACCGAGGAGCAAAACATGGAGATGTGGGGCCCACATGCTCGATGCCTTTGAAGAAGACGACGAGCTTTGTATGAATGCCGTGTGTGCGCTTTACCGACACCAAGTTTCTACACGAGAATCGCTTTGCCACTTCGTGATGATGGGGTAGTTACTTCTGCTTTGGTATTTGTATTTATTTCTTTATTTGGTCGTCTTATAAAATATCATGACCTAAAATGATGTTAGTGATTTTTTAATTTTTTTTCAAATATATATTAGGGGACGTGATTTGGCGAAGTGTTTGATCGATGGGGATCCGGAGCTTCGATTAAAGAAACCCGTTTCCAAAATTAAACGGCAATTTCCCAATGCTATAAACGAATGTCGAATTCTTGCAAGGAGCTACTATGAGAAACTTTATATGCTGTATTGCAGTGGAAAAGATCGGTTTTTTCGACCAATGTAATCTGTGGGTCGATCTTGTGATCGAGTTTATGTTTGTATATAGTTTTGAACTCAAATCTGATTCTTGATTTGGTTTATGATTGTATATGAATCACATGATCATGTTCATCTTTATGCTTTTGATGAAATAAATCAATCCCAAAATTTTACTTTCATTTCGAAAATATACAAACTGAAAAAAAAAATAATAAATTAAAAAATTAAAAAGGAATATACTCAAAATATGAACAAATGATGGCTTTTCTAACACTCCCCCTAAACCGGAATTAAACTGCATTGCCTTTTTTCTTTCTTTCTTCCTTAAAACATATTACATTTGTGTAGTTCAGACAAAAAAAAAACTATGCTACATGAGACGAAACACGATCTAGATTAGGTCTTTGTGGGCCCACAGTCACGTCCGGAAGTGAGGTCTGTCTACCGAGTCTCGAGCACCGCCCGAACGGGTCCAGTGGCGACGAAGAAGAATTATTCTCCACCGACGAATGACAGGCCGACACCTGTCTCGGCGAAGGAGAAGCGCACGTGGCGAAAGTTCGGGAAGGCGAAGAAGCTGGCGAAGAAACGGGTGCACTTTTCTTCTTCATCATCATTCTTGACGGCGACTCGTCTTTCGGTGATGCTTCTGATTGGCTGCACTTTCTGAAAACCCTAGACGGAGAAGAAGCTGGCGAAGAAACGGACATAGTTTTCTTCTTCATTCTGATCGGCTCGTTTTTCGGTGCTTCTGATTGGCCGAAAGCTCTCGCTGGAGATGAAGCTGCGGAGAAAACGGGCCTCGTTTTCCTGTTTCGGGTTTCTGAGTAAACAAAATCAGAAATTCTATTTAGAATATTTTACTACATTTCGACGTAGAAATTATGACAACAAAATGGAAGAAAAGAGCAAACCTTCAATTTTCTTGGTCTTTATTACATCTTTCATCTGTTTAATGATCACGGTTGTCTTGCCAGTTTTTTCCTCGGTTTTTTCCTCGGTTTTTTCAACGGTGTTCTTTATAGATTCTCCATTCTTCACTATCTTCTCCGGAATCTCGCTTAATTTCCGATTTCTCGTCGGCCGCAGTATCATTTCCCCCTCCAAAGATTTCGTTTTTTGGTCAACTATTGGTCTCAAAGACTGTTTCTTTTCAAGAATCTCGGTACTCTCCGCTTTCTGCTCCGTCACTTTCGTCACTAACTGAGAAGATTCCGCTACTTTGGATGCTATAATCGCTTTATCAAGAACCTCTCTCAGCTCCCGACTAGTGAAATTCTGGTCGGTTCTCCTCTCCAGATTAAACGATTTACTCGAAAGTTTCCTCCTAGGACTCTCCAAACCAAACGAGCTCTGATCCAACGGGTGCATTTTCCGTTGCGGAATCTCGGAAATAACGGACCTCATATCCACAGCAATGCCGGAATTCTTGGTGTCGATAATCTCCGAACAAACGGACCTCCGATCGCTCGGCGCAAGCAAGAAATCGTCCATATTATGATCTTCGTCAAACATCGAAGCTGGCCTATGAATCTCCCATTTCTTGGAGTAGAATTTCTCCTTTTCCACTATCTTGTACGTGAACATCTGAAACGGGATCTGCAGAACCGGGGGGGCCAAAACCCCCGCGCCCCCCTTTTCCGGAAACTTCTTCAAGTACCCTGCCTCCATGTCGCAGTAGTCCACTAGTGGCGGCGGAGAGTCGGGGTGGCCGTGGTCCGGATTTATGACGAGGATTTTCTTGATGTACCGTAAAACCCTACATATAGAGGAAAAACTCGGTCGTAAATTAGGGTTCGTCTGCCAGCATTTTTTCGTGAGATTTGTCAAGTATTTCGGAGAAGGGTACGAAAAAAGAGGCCTCTCGCCAGCTCGTATATTACGAGCCATCTTCTCGCCTTGTAAATGGCCATCTTCGAACGGAACTTTCCCCGTTAGAAGCTCGAAGCAGAGCATCCCGAAACTATAAACATCGGCTTTCTCGGTGTAGTTTGGGGAAATGTTTTTATTACCTTCTAATTCGGTTAAAATCTCCGGTGCTAACCAAATATCGAGATCGACCCCCGTTTTTTTAGGGCTTTTCGAAGTGTAGTAGCTCTTGATCGAGCTCAAACCGAACCCCGCAACTTTAGCTTGAAACCCTCCAATCGAGGCGTTTTTCGCCTTTAGAAGTACGCTCGAAGGATTCAAAACTCCATGATAGATTTTCTTCGAGTGTAGATATTCCATCCCTCTAGCAATCTGCAGCATAATATCGACAGCAATTGGTATAGAAAACGGGACCCGGTTTCTCTGTCCGGAATTTTCTTTTATGTAGGAACCAAGATCCTTACTCATAAGCTCCATCACAAGAAACCCTTCTTTCCGATCCTCATCGTAAAAGGCGCAAAGGTACTGCAACACATTCGGATGCGAAAGCGAAAGAATCGTAGAAATCTCGGAATACAACGGGCCCACGTCACCGTAAAAAGTCCTCAACGCATAATTCTCCCCCATCCAATGAATCTCCTTCAGATTCCCACCCGTCGAAGCCAAACGCCGCTTCACTAAATAATCTTGGGCCCCCACCAAAACGTTGCTCGACGGAAGCTTCCGATCCAACGAATCCCCATTCTTCATTTTCCTGATCAAGATTTCACCGATGGGCCCCGTTTTTTTGTTATCCTCGATTTTCTTGACTAGGAGCCAACGGTCTTCGCTCCAAGCGTTTTCTAAACGGGCGCATATCTCTATCGGGACTAAGTACTCTCTGCCGAATTTCCACAAAAAGTGTTTTAGGTCGTCGCACTCTTGGTCGTACTTCTGCATGAGGGAGATTCGTCTCTTCTGCATGTCTTCTTGATCGAGGGCCGAGATTTCTGCCGCGGTCTCGATCGCTTCGATCACGACGGGGAAAGACGAGAGGAGGTTATGTATGTGGAGATCCAAACAGTCCCTATTCATGTGGAGGCTAATTACTCGGCCCCACCATTCTTTTACGTCGGTGCATTGTCGTATGTAGAGATCGCATTCTTTGAACACTTTGTGGAGCTCCTTCATCGGAAACTCGAGGGGCTTCCACTTGTTGGTGTTCTTGTCTTCGAGCTTCAGATTCTGTCGGATTTCGTCGGAGATTGTCTCGAAGGCTAACTCCAACATGTCGAAAAGCAGGCAGCATTGTCTCTGGTTGATCGATATTTCGTGTTTCATTACCATTAATGCCTTCAAACTGCCCAAAACCTCCCCAATCTGCCTGAACTGATCCATCTCCGGTTTTTTCGGAAGAAAAAAAGATTGAATTTTTATTTTATTTTATTTTAAATTTCCAGTCTGAAGAACCAAACCTGCTGTGCAATGAAAACATTCAGCTAACAAAAAGAAGTTTTCTTGGAGAAACATAATGAATCATTACAGAAATAGAAAAAGAAAAATTCACCTGTTGGGGGTGAAAAAAACCAATCTTGAATTTCCTGGGGAGAAAAAGGGGAAACTGCTGAATTTTGGGGGTTCTTATGGAACCTGAGAAAATTCAGCAGAAACCCTCTTCGATACGGCGGCGCGTGAGAGAGAAAAAAACAGCAACAAGGATCAAAGCATCACAATTCAAAGAAAATAGCAACAAAATCAATACAGAGATTTCTTTTGATGGCAGATAAAATCAATATTTCAGAAATCAAGAATCAAAATCTGGGCATTCCATCGGAGAAGATGGAATGGAAACCCAACTGAGAATCAAAATCCAGTATTTTCAATTTTGATTTTTTTTTTTTGTTTTTCTTTTTGTTTTTCTTTTTCCTTGTAATTTTTTTTCTCTCTCATCACCTGAAGGGCTTGGCTGAAGCAGGATCTTCTGGAATTCCAAGATTTTGACCGTTGAAATCTCCCGCGTTTTTTGGGGTCGTTTTGATGTGTCTTTGTGTGTAAATGTGTTCCCGCGAATTTCGGTTTTCATTCAGTGATGGCTTTGCTGCTATTTTCTTTGGTTTTTTTTTTTTTTTTTTTCACGAAAAATAGGAATTCTTTTTACTAGTGATGAATGGATATTAGCAAGCAAGAATCTTTTTATTCCCCTTTTTTCTTGAGGTTGATTAGGGAATCATATTATTTGTTTCAATTTCGAATTAATTATTTTTTCTATTTTACCAATTTCACCTTTATCGTGAATATTTGTGTGGACATAAAATATAATTTAGAGGGTGTTTAGTTAAGAAAAAAACATCTAACAATAAATCGTTGCTTGCGGTCTATATTATACTACACTGAGTAGATATTCATCATTTATAAGCATACAAACACACACACATATCCACATTGGTGTGTGTAGATCAACAGTAAGGCTACATTCGATGTAACGTTCACTGGGTGTATTATAGAAATAGATCAACGGTAATGCTACACTCTGTGTAACCTTCAGTAACCCGTCCCTGCTATAGGAGATTCATATCGTATTGATCACCACGTGCTAAGGAAGAGGAAAGAAGTTGAGCTTGATCAAAGGAGTGTGCATTTGCCTAATTAAAGGTGCAGCTGATCACACTGGATCAAACAACTCAAGCTTGTAACCACAATTGCCACGTCGAAGCTCGTGAGTGGTTGATTTGGAACCACGTCGTTTGCTAGCTGATGAGAGAGGTTGTTAAAGGGAGCGCGTGGATCTGTGATATAAGAGGTGCCATCTCAGTGAGGCAATTTTTCACATTAAGGTCGTAGAATCAAAAACAAGAGAGAGAGAAAAAAAATCTATTAGAATAGCATGTGTTCTTGAAAAGACTTTCCGAGAGAAAAAGATCTTGTATCTGTAAACACTTGTCGGTTTTATCTGAATAAAATCTAGTTCTGTCCAGAGTGAATGAAATCCCATTTCTTTAACGGAATTGAAATTCATTTTCATTTTAAATAAATTTAGAAGTTTTACGAACGTGTCAATTTCGATTATATCAGTCCGATTTCCACCGTTAACAAGTATGGGTCTAGTTCTACTAGGCCCAACTTCCTAAATAATGACTGTCAATTGATCCAACTTACTCGGGCTTCAGAATGGGCTCGGGCCCGTGCAACTAAAATTTCTTTACTTTACTTTGTTAGACTTGGACCCACTGTAAATTTTAGGGTTAAATACACTTTGCACCCCTGAAGTATAGCTCAAGTAACACTTACCCCTTAAAGTATTATTTGTAACACTTACCCCCTCCACATCAATTATTTTATATTTTAAAATGTAAAAAATAATAAACATAACAATCTAATAATTAATGTTCATAGAAAATTGAAAAGTAACTAAAATTAATTAATGAAAAAAAAATTAAAAAGTAATATATATTGGGTAATAATGAATGAAAATATATTTAAAAAAATTAACGAACTAAAATAAATTTTAATACTTAAGAAGTCTATTTGTTATGTATTGATTTCTTAAAATTTATCGATAGAGTATTTTTGATTAATTGGTCCAATAACAATTAGATGTTATTTATTGAATAAGTATTCAATACAAGATAATATTTTTAAATTTTAAAATATTTTATTTTTCAACAAACATTTTTAGTTGTATAATTTAATTAATCTTTTAGTTATTCCTTTCAATGAAATAATTTTTTTAAGGTGTTAAAATTTAAAATACAAATTAAATTGTGCTTGAGGCAGTAAATGTTACAAATGATACTTTAAGGGGTAAGTGTTACAGAGGGTATACTTTATGGTGCAAACTGTATTTAACATATTTGACATAAGCCAGATGAAGCCACGTGGAAGGATCTTGACCGTAGCATGTGGCGCGAAGTAGGAGTGAATAGATTCCCGCCGGCCGTAAACGTGGGGTACCATCACTCTCGCAAGCGAGTGGGACCCCATCTTCGTCCCTTTACCTGTAACCGTTTCTCTCGGTTTCTTATTTTATTTCCTTTGATTGTTTGATTAAAAGGTTACCTTTAATTTTGAGAAACTATACATATTGTTTGTGTTTTAATATTACTTCTAAGTTCTATTAAAACATTTAAGTTTAATTATTATGAGTGAGCTTTACTACACCTTCATTAGCGATTCTACCATTTAAGTATGGTCAATTGCATCAAATTGTACAATAATTCGGGTCACAATTGAATTGGTTCAACTATGCTCGACCAATTTTAAATGATTTTGAAACGACCGTCGTTAAGACCAACCCTCATTAGGAGGGTTTTGTTCAACTACACTCAACCAATTTTAAATGATTTTAGAACGACCGTTGTTAAAACCAAATTTTAAATGAATTTTAAAATGATTTTAAAATGGTCTAGGGTCGAGTTCCCCTTCCATATTTTCCTTTGTAATTGACTTAAATTTACTCAAAAAAAAAAAAAACGACCGTCGTTAAGAAACACATTCATATTAAATAACAAAGTTTCATATAATGAGCCAAGTCATAAAACAACAAGTAAATAAGAGGGTTAAATACAAAACACTCCTGTACTATGGACTTTGTATTATATACCCCATATACTACACATAAATACAAAAACTTCCATACTGTTACATCTTTTCCAAAATCTGACGAAAATACCCCTGCTAAAGCCTAAAAATATAAGGGTTTGTTTGAGTCATTTTCCACTATATAATTTAACATTTTCGGTCAATTTTACTTGGTAAAATTTGGTATTTTTATTTTTTTCTACAAAACATCTAATTGCTCAATTTTTTATTTATTTTCTGAATAAAACCTTTTATTTTTGTCAATTTGAATTTCTTCATTTTTTTCTTAAATGTCTTTCGATAGTTCAAATTCTCAACAATCATAGGATTGTAAAGATGTTTGTAATCTTAGGATGTTTGAACTAGCGGAAGACATTTAAGGAAAAAAATGAAGAAACTCAGAATGACAAAAATAAAAGGTTTTATTCAGAAAATTAAAAAAATCTAAGCACTTAGATGTTTTGGAGGAAAAAAAATATAAATACAAAAATTTCCCCCGGTAAAATTGACTGAAAATGGTAAAACATATAGTGGAAAATGGCTCAAACAAACTATTATATATATATGCTTTAGCAGGGACATTTTCGTTATATTTTGAAAAAAATGTAATGATATGGGAATTTTTGTACTTATATATAGTACAAAGATTATATGATACAAAGTTCATAGCACAGGGGCATTTTTGTGTTTAACCCTAAATAATACAAATAAATCACAATTCACAAAGTAACAAACAACACAATTCAACTATAGTTTAAACCAATATTATTTCAAGTCATGTAATTTGCTCACGTGTATATTTCATCTCTTCTCACGGACCACCGGTTCTCCCGGTGATTATCTCCACGAATAGAACCCGATGAGAGAGAGAGAGAGAGAGAGAGAGAAGCACATGGTATGGGAGGCACACAAGAAAGAAAAAAAAAACATGGTTTCCATATCCATCGCCCACCACCCACCATACAAAAACTTGCCACTTTTTATTTTCCTTAGCGTGAAAACAGTTTGCAATTTGGTGGTGCATTTCTTTCCTCCTCCTCTCCTCTCTCTCTCTCTCTAACTCGTCTCTGTGCAGAGAAGATTTAATCGAGTAGAGGAGAGAGAGAGAGATAGAGAAAGAAAAAAAAAAAGAGAGAGAGAGAGAGAGATGGCAATGAATTATAAGGTCTCGTTTGGCATATTTGCTACAATTGCTATTGTTTTTGCAATCCTTCTGCCTGTTATTGAAGGCCATGGCCATGACGGTTTTGCCCCTGCTCCTGCCCCAACTAGTGACGGTATGTTTTTCTTTCTTTTATTTAATTACAATTACAATTTGTCTTTACTTTATTTAGAAAAAAAAATCATGGAAATGCTGTTTCTTGAATGTTACGTTTTTATTATTGTTTTCTTTCAATATTTTTTATCGATATTCTTCGAGCTACTAATATTAAATGAATATATATTTCAGCAACACTTTAAGTTTATAGTTCAGATGATCGTTCAACATAGTATTATCAAATTCAGGTCTATTCAAATATTTCAACTGCAAATTTCACTAATAACTGAAGTTTTTTTTTTGTTGAGGTCGTCATTCCACGCTGCAAAGTGTTATTTTAGCATAAATTAAATTAAATTAAAACATAAATCGTCCTCGACTTTGGTTTGGACTACGCGTTGATTAAAAAATCCCCCTCGTTTTATTTTGAATTGCTAAATAAACTTTTATATTGTTTCGAATATATATATATATATATATATATAAAGGTGTATAATTTAGTATGGAATGGCATAAACAGGGACAACAATTGACCAGGGCATTGCGTGTGGGCTGATGGTGTTGGCTTTGGTGCTCACTTATCTTATCCACACCTTTGATCATTCTCCTTTCTCCGGTTGACTTTTTCCGTTGACTTCTTATTTTTCTCCTGGATTTACAATTTCATTATTGCACTAAAATAATAATTATGAATCTCCATGTTTTTGAATGTTTTGTATGATGGGGGTAAGATTTTACTTGTGCATCAAATATCGCAGTGTTTGGAAGTTATTTTTATTTTATTTTGGGATATACGTTTTTAGTGAAGAATTTGAGGATTAAGTGTTTAAATTTAAAAGTTGTGCGTGTTTGTAAATTCGATGGAAAATCAACTTATATAGAAAAAAAAACTGATCCAGAGGTGCTTATAAAAAAAATAGCTTAAAACAACTTATTTAAGTAGAAACAAAAGCGAAAAACTGATTTTGCAAACTCATAAATAACGTATTGTGAACAAAGAAAAGCTTATAATCTATTTCTAAAAGTTTTTGCAAATGTCACTAAAATATGTTTAATTTATTTTATCAAATAGTAAATTTAATTCTTAAGAAGGGATAAACTCAACTGCCGTTTTGCCTTTGTTCTCATAAATGAAATTGATCAACCGCATTTAATTTTCTATACAAGTGTAGAGTATTTTATGTAACTGAATCCCAAAAAAATATATATTTATATATATGGGAAATGTTATTAATAAAAAAAAAAATTGTACACAAACAAATCAATAGGCAAGATAGAACATATACATATATACACATAAATAATGGTGAATAGTTTGTTAAATCTGGAAAGGATGTTTAGTATAGGAGAAATCCTAATTCCAATCAGCTTTGTAAAATACGATGTTTTAATTTCAAGACAAGTCATGCCTGAATTTCACATTGCCTTTCTTCTTATGTCTTCAATTGGGGTTTATCTCATGGATCAACGTCGACGATGAACTTTTCGATGTACAATACTTTCGGTGCTGTATTTTACCGGGTTTTTTGTCTTGAAACATAAATTCGTAATTATAATTTTCGCTCTTGTTCAGTAGTCTACAGACAATACGAAAAGTGTGCACTGATCAAGACATGTAATCTACAACGAAGTCGATCTAAACAATGTTGTCAATAAAGATCGAACGTATGTAGTTAATGAACAAATTTGTAAAATATACTTCTATTTTTTTTTTTCTTATATCACAACTTTTATTACATATTAACAAACATGATAAAGGAGTACAAATATCCTCTTAGAACCATATTTCTCTTCTATCAAACGTGTGTGTGTATATATATATATATATATATATATATATATGGTAAATTACGTCAAACCCCCTAAAGTAAGATTAGATTACAAAAATCCCCTCATGTTTGGATAATTGCAACCACCCATCAACTATGAATCTTCTTATACGCCCACTTTTGTGGTGTCAAATTTAGTGGAATATTCTTTAATTTGTACCCGTTTTACCCCATTCGAGCTCCACAATTTGAAACAAGATGTTTATAAGATGTGTAACTTGGTTTGTAAATATCAGATTGTGGATTGTGGTGCATTAGAAACTGAATATTTGCACTAAACGAGTATAAACAAGAGAACATTCCACGGAATCTTAAAGATTATGTTAAATTTTACACCATAAGGGTGGACGTATAAAAAAATTCATAATTACAGGGTGCATGTAATTACCCAAACATGAGGGACTTTTCGTAATCTGTACTTACATCAGGGGTAACCGTAATTTACCCCATATATACATAATATATATACACACATATGAATGTCAATTGGTCCAGGATGAAGCCCATTGGGAAAGGTAAATGGACAAAGTGTTTTAGGCCCAGCCCAGCTTTAACTGTTAAATTAAAAAATAATAATATAATAAATAACCGCAAGTATTTGACAAAACTTGACCGTATTTTTCTATAGAATTAATTTCACGTAACTAAATAATTAATTTTTTTATTGAAATAAGTTACAAGTATCAGAAATCCACAATTTGGACTTGCGAAAAGGACCAAAAAACTCGAGATATTTTTCAAAGTAGTAATGATATTTTGAGTGACTGTTAAAAGGCCAACATGTTTGTGCAAAACCAGCAAAATATCAACCACACGCCACAGTATATATAAAAATATTAAATAAATAAATAATAAAAGAATTTCCTTAAATACAACATAAATAAAAAAATAAAAAAATTATACATATTAATTTAAGATAAATAATGAAAAAAAATCTGACATAAATACAAAAAATGCATTTTCACATGCATAATGTAACCTTTGAGTAGTATGAAATGAATATATATATGGGTGCAACTGTGCATATAAGAGACAAAAGGGGTTAAAAATAGGGCAGTCTGAAAGATTTGAGGCCCAAAAAAAAGATCTGCAAAATTGTGCCCCATCACTCTCTTGTCGGTAGGTGAGAGTGACTTTTTTCTGGGGCCCTATTTATAATTTTGCAGAACTGATGGGCTCTTCTTCCCTTCCCACCCTACATTTCCCAATACCTCAACTTTTAACCCCTGTCCGCCACGTGTACCCTTTCATGAGGGGCAAAACCACCTTTGTTGAAGAGCCAATACCATGGGCCGAACTGGACACCGCAGTTGTTAGGGTCCGGTTCAACTCGTGAACCGGCCCGTGTGGTACAATTGTCGGAGGCGGAGGTGCTGCTAAGTCGAGTCACTATTACTTCGTGTG